GAAGGGAAGGAGGTAAAAGGGAGAAGGGAGAAGGGGGTAGGACAGGTATTCGAAAAAAGGTTAGAGAGGGATGGATTCGTGAGGGTAAAGGTAAAAAGGTAGGGGTAGAATTTTTGTGGAGGGGTAACTAGGATTGTGGGCCGTACCCCTGATGATCCTGGCACAGGGTAAAGGACCAATCCTCGATGAACGTCTGCTAGTTTTGCAATGGAAGACGATATGGGGGTTTTTGTTTTCTTTTACTTTTTTTTCTTCTTATTCTTTCACGAGTATCTTTATCTTTTCAACGTTTTCATTCGTCAATTACTTTAATATGAATATTATAATCGTTGAAAGATATTTTGTGTGTGTGTGTGTGTGTTTTTTTTTTACAACAAAATTAAACGTGGGCATATATAAAAATAAGAAAGAACAAGAAAAAAATTACACGTTTATTTATAATAAACGAAGATAAATAAAAATAATGTAATAAAAGAGAAAGTATCTCTTAAAAAAAAAAAAAAAAAAATTCTGAGGTATAAGTAAAATTATAACCTAAAAATAACTTGTACATCATCATTTTAACAAACCCACTTAACGTAAAGTTCATAAATTGTAAATAAATAATATCAAAGAAAAAAGGAAAAATGTTAGAAATATATTTCAACATATTACACTTAAATAAAATCAAATATAATTAATAATAATTGTCATAATACTTCGACAAACTAAACAATAAGTAAAATATTAAAATATAAAACTCTAATTAAGGTAACACACACACCATTCTTAAAAGAATTTTTTCTAACAATTTGGTTAAACTCGTTTATATCTTTGAAAAGTTTGTATGTGTATGACGGTATTATCTTGTATTTTTTTTCCTCCCTTTCTCTCCAAGAAGGGTGAAGAGAGAGAGAGAGAGAGAGAAAGAAAGAGAAAGAGAGAGAACGATGGGCGCTCGATCGGAGGGCTGCAAAATATGGGTGGTTGTGGTGGTGGTAATGGTGGTAGCGGTGGAGAGAAGAGAAACTGAGAGATAAAAAAGACCGCTGACCGTGGTGGCAAAGAGAGAGAGAGAGAGAGAGAGAGAGAGAGAGAGAGAGAGAGAGAGAGAGATGGATGGACAGGAAAAAGAAGAAGAGGATAGAAAGAGAAAGAGAAGTTGGTGGTGGGTTGGGTTGAGTTGGGTTGGGTTGAGGGGGGTTAGGGAGAGGAAGGGAGAGGAAGGGCTACGGTGGGAGCGGCGACTCAGTCCATCTGCCCGGTGTTTTGTCCGGGCGGTGGGAGAGAGAGGTAGGGTGGCAAAAACTCACCTAACCCTTCCTTGATTACAATGCCGGCAAAAAGCGAAATACTAACCGCCGTCGGTTGCCGTTGCCCTGGCGTCGTCGTCGACGACGACGACGACGACGTCGACGTCGACGTCGTCCTCATCGTTCGTCGTCGTTGTTGAAGCTGCGCGAGAAAACGGGCCGTTGTTGGTGCTGCTGCTGCTGCTACTTGCTGCTGCTACTTGCTGCTGTTACTTGCTGCTAAGAAACTAGACTCGTTTTTGTCTCGTAGTCGAAGGAAGAGAACGCAAGGAGAGCCAGAGAGAACCGAACGGCCACTCTCTTCGAACAAAGAACTTCTCTATACCACGTTAGCCACCCTTTTGCATTACTCTCACTCTTACTCTCTGTCTCTCTCACTCTCTTTTATGTAGGTCTACCAAAAAGCTAAGTTCTACGAATTTACCGTAGCCTAACATTTAACATGCAGGCAAACAAACATCCAACCAAACAGGGGCTGATCATTTTGGTTCAACTTAATTATTCATTGACATAAATAATTTTATAAATATATGTGTATAAGTCTAACCAAAAAGCTAACATTAGTTCCACGAATTTACAATACCCACTAGTAAATATGTAGGCAAATAGGCAAACAGGGGCAATGACCATTTTATTGACATAAATAATTTTATATATAAGTGTGTTAGAGAGCAAGATATCTTTTATGTACAATAGGTCTACCAAAAAGCAAAGTACTACGAATTTACAATACCCACTAATTAACTAGACAAACTTGCAAACACCCAACTAAGCAGGTGTTGATCATTTTGGTTCAACTTACTGACGATTACTTATTAACATAAATAATTTTATATACATCCATGTTAGAGAGAGAATAAGATCTTCTTTAAGTAGATGTACCAAAAAGCTAACATAAGTTCCACGAATTTACAATACCCACCAGACAACAGTCAAGCAAGTAAGCAAGCAAGCAAGCAGGGGGTGATCATCTTCCATTGGTTCAACTTGTTGACGATTTTTATCTGTTACTTATTGACATAAATAATTTAATATACATGTATATGTATGTGAGAAAGAGAGAATGTAGTTGATTGGTATGGTATTCGAAATTCCAAGACGGCAAGTCAGGAGGTGGATGGATATCTGGTTGGTCGTTCGCGTTTGAGGAACGTTCGCTTTGGAAAGAAACGATTTGACTTCTTGTTGATTCTTCTCGAAAAGCGGTTCTCGCGAGCGCGTATCTTTCCCAGGGAGGCCAACGAAGAAGAAGAAGAAGAAGGGATCCAGCTTTTTCTTCTTCTTCATCGTCTTCGTCGAGTTCGTCGTTGGAGGAGGCGGTGCGTGCCTCGTTCGCGAGCTTTACCGACGGAACGTTGTTTCACTTTTATACCTGTGTGTGTGTGTGTCTCTCTCTCTCTCTCTCTCTCTCTCTCACTCTTTCAGTCTATCTAACCATGAGAAGTTGAAGAAAAAGTAGATGAGACGTCGGGGGAAATGAGAGAGGGAGAGTATCCTTCTGAAAGGACAAAAACGCGGCCACCCTTAGCCAAAAAAGTCGTTATGTAAATGTAATGCCCAGGCCTAGCTGGCCGACTCTCTTTTCCTCCCGGCGCCCTCTCTCTCTCTCTCTTTCTTTCTTTCTCTCTGAGTACCCTACCGGAGAAAGAACCTTTTTCAAATACCCAACATTATCATCTATACCTTTACCTACCTAACTACCAACTATTTCCATCCTGTACACGTACGAGTACTTTGCAACTTACATATGTTCACATTGTAACTAGTAAAGTTAGTTTAGTTTATTATTTCTAACCTATAATATAATTATGTTACTTAATGTAGGTATCAATGAAATAATCAAATAATTGATTTACTATTTTTAATTAAAAGTATAAACCTTATTTATATGAAAGGACCTTATTAATACTTTTAATTAACTTGATAAAAGTATAGATAATATTTGTTTATACATGTGTTAAGATTGTAACTAATGGGCTAGTTCTAATTTATAATAATTTATAATAATTTATAATAATTATTAATCATAAACATTTCAATATGGTGATGAATAAAAAGAAAGGAAAAGTGATGATAGCATTCGAAAGGATGAAGTCAAGTGAAAGAGAGACGAGAGACAAGTTTGAAATGTATCGACGATTTGTCCAATTTGTGGTTTGATCGAACGACGAACACACTTTTATCATCGTATAATAAATAATACATAAGACGGTCCTCTACGAGTAGCCATTATATAATACCGATAGAGGTAGAAACCTTCCTTTACGAAGAATAAGAAGAAGAAAAAGGAACAAGGGTTAACAATGTATGTGTGATATCTATGACAGAATCAATTTCGACATTTTATCATCTCTCTCTCTCTCTCTCTCTCATTAATTTTGCTAATTTCATTAATTTTCAATATTTTCGATAATTAATAATAATTATAATTTACATTGATTTCTAATACAATCCAATATATTCGACATATTAAATATATATATATATATATATATATATATATCAAAATTCCACAATTGCATTTAATTTGCAATTTAATTGTTTTTCTTCTTCTTCTTCTTATTGCAATACAATAAATTCGACATATTAAATTATATCAAAATTTCAATTGCATTTAATTTAATATTAAATTAATAATATAAATTTCACATATATATATATAACAATTCGAAAATTTCTAATAAAAATTATTCAATCAAATGCTCATCAAATTTATTACAAAAATAACAATAACACTCTACAACAATAAATATAAAAAAAAAAAAAAAACAAAATACGAAATATCGTAGTTGTAACACATAGATTAAGTTTAATAAGAGACAGCACCCCCATATATGATATATCACTTTCCCCATTCTTTCTCGTTTATAATCGGGTTTTGTGAGAGATAATACGGTGGTGCGGTGTGGTTGCATCCACGCGTCAGAAAAATCTCGCGGAACGAGTCACCACCCTGCTGCTGCTCAGCACCAATGCGCCTCTGACTGAGTTTCATCTTTCTCTCTCTCTCTCTTTATCTTTTTCTTTCATTCTTTCTGTCTTACTCGGTTGCCTAGGGTCCCAACGACGTATAAGCGTGAGACCGACGGCGGCGGCGGGCCCGGCCTCTCTCGTAATAAGACCGTAGGCCAGTTTTTTCGGGTTCTTCTCCCCCTTGCTTTTGCTTCCTCTCTTTCTCTTTCTTTCAGTCCCCACCCCCTGTCCCTCTTCAGGGGCCCCCTATGCTTGCTCACTCGCTTACTCGATCCCGGTATTAATTTATACGCCGTACGTGTGTGCACGCGGCTTTTTCTCGCGATTCCACGAAATTTGCAAGAAACTAGTCCCGAAGAACCACAACGATCGGGGAATCTTCGATCTTTCTTTCGGCTCCCGTTGAATCGTTGTGACGATCTCGGTTCTACTGATTTAATATCATCCTACTTTTTATCATACTTCATTTTATTTTCTTACTATTTGCCTTTTTTATTTTTTTTTTTTTTATTTTTCTCTCTCATTCTACTTCTTCTTCTTCTTCTTCTTCTTCTTCTTAACAATTCCTTTGAGAGAATATTAATTGTCTTTGATTAATTACGTGAATCACGTTTAATTGGAAGCACGTGATTCGTTGCAAGCTTTCTTATCAAAACAATTTCTTTTTATCCTTTTTATTTCTTCAGATTTTTTTCTTTTCTTTTTGCTCACTTATCATCGATCTTATATTTACAGTCGTACAAACGTCAGTCCCACAAAACGAAGCTGAATTGCAATTGTATCGAGTTATGCAGCGAGCTTCTTTACTCGGATATTACGATACTCTACTGGAAATGGGTAGGTAGGAGAAGTTAGTTTATATTTCGTAGGTTGGTCATAATATTATTCAATTGAAACGATAAGTATACTTTATTATCATTGTGTATTTTATAGGTGGGGACGACGTTCAACAATTATGCGATGCTGGTGAAGAAGAGTTCCTCGAAATTATGGCATTGGTCGGCATGGCAAGCAAACCTCTTCACGTACGAAGACTTCAGAAGGCTCTTCAGGAGTGGCTCACCAATCCCTGTAAAGTATCGTCTCTTTCATTCTCTTTCTCTTCAACCCTCTTTCTTTTCTTTTGCTTTCATATCTCAGAATTTATATCTTACGTAATTCGTATATGAATTTGATTTGAATGTCCCCCCCCCCCCAATTGAATGTTTTTTTTCTTTTTTAGCTCTTTTTCAAACACCAGTCGTACCATCAACCGGGACATGTAAAAATCCACCAGCGGTCGTTGGTTTCCCTTGTGCCAGTCCTCGTGCACAAGTACAAGTTCCACAAGTGCCACAAGTACCACAACAAGTCGCTGTTTTCTCAACGACATCGTCTACCAGTGTTACTACCACGTCAACCATGCTTCCATGTCGTAGTGTCAGTCCTATTGTTTCGGTTACTAGCGTAGCAGCATCAGCTGGTTCTACGACTTATAGGCAAACACCGAGTCCCGGTTCATCGATATTACCAGTCGCGGCATCCTACATACCACCGACTTCCCACAGTCCTGGTGTACTTCAAGTTGGCACCTGTGAATCTTCCTGCGGCAGTGGAACTACCCCGAGTCCTAGTGGCACCTGTGCACCAGCTAGTCCAACTCAATTAACACCTACTTTGTTACACTCACAAATACAACGGCTTGCTGAAGCTGCTGAGAGACTTGCTGCTACGATCAGACCGGTCGATCCTAAACCTCATAACGTTAAAAAGAAATTTTGTAAAAATCTCGAAGTGAGTATACGTGTTTTGATCAATTTATCTTTGATCAATTTATTTGAATAATTACATTATGATTTTATCTTACCAGTTGGTCATGGCAATGCCAGACAATGATCCACGTAGAATGGAAGAGATTAGAAAGTATGCAGCAATTTATGGTAGGTTTGATTGTAAAAGAAAACCTGAGAAACCTTTGACGTTACACGAGATCTGCGTGAACGAGGCTGCAGCACAGATATGCAGGTTCGTACCAGCACTTTTGACCAGGAGGGACGAACTATTTCCATTGGCACGTCGAGTGGTACGAGATTCCGGTTATCATTATGTTAAAAGTCAATAGTAAGTTTCAATGAATAACACGAATCATATTTTCAATTTATTATATCAAAAAAATCATTGTATTTTTGTTTTACCTTGCAGTTTGTCAATGTCCTCAGCGAGGCAACGTGAAAATGGTGAGGAGAACGAGTTAGAGCGAGGTAAACGAAGAAAGCTCGAACTCGAGGGTGAGGCCGAGGACGCGATGCAGGTTAGCTCGGCCTGTCCAAAAAACTAAAATCACGCTAATCATTATTGGCTGACCCTGGCCCACGTTCGCATGGTCGCTAGCTAACTACTACTACTACTACTACTACTAACCGTACATTCAGCACGTACACCCCAACACGCACACGCAGCAACACCCCACTACTACTACTAGTCCTCGTCTCGCGTCATTTAAACTCTCCATCCTCTGCTTTCGTTAACTCGAGATATGGATGGAAAAGGTCAAGTATATATGTAGTCGTTGACGAAGCGCACGTATGATTTTTAATAGCACTTAATAGTTTTTATCTATTTGTTTGTCTCTGTTTGCTTGTTGTTGTTGTTGTGCACGCTTTCGATGTTTCAATTATGGCACCTCTGAATCTCTTTCGTAATGCTATTTAATGTTGCATGCAATTTGTTGCAGTGTTTTATTAAAAATTGTTAAATTAGTAGTTTGACGCATCTGAATGAAAGTGAGTTTGTAATTTTGAAAATTGCCACTATCAAATGTGGCGCCACTTGGAACACTTCACGGCGCCATGTTTCTTTTTTTTTTATTTTTGAGAAAAAATTGCAACCTAATATTGTTTTTTAATTTTTGAATTATAGAATATCGATCGTAAATCGTTTGACAATTAAAAAAAACAATAAATCTTCGATTTTATATCGTGAAATTGATAAAGTCTCGGTTCGACGAACATTGGATTTGATCTCTGTGGTTATAAAACTTCGAATATATTATAATTAAACAAATGGTATTGGGGTTTCAGGTTTTTACTCTTTTTTATTTCCCCCATCGACAATTTATATGCATGTAATTGATCAGAAATAAATAAAAAAAAAAAATTGATCGCGACTCGCTAAGATTTCACGCTTCATGCCTGGTTTCTCAGCGAGTCGTTTTTTTTTCTTACGATTTTCATTTTGCTTTTTTTTTTTCGAGAAGACATTATCGAGATATGATGATATGATAATTTTGTTGGTGTTTTTTTTTGTTCTTTTAAATAATTTTCTACTCTTCATCGTTGCTTTTACCGTCTACAGCAGTTTCTGCTTTTCAGGAAGAGTTGGATTTACGATGTTCCGTCAATGAAGTTAATAACAGTGGCATCAGAAGACACGGCTCTTCGAGGTGATTACTTTCGATGCTTATTTAAAACAACAAGAAAACAAGAACAATAAATTCATCTTTAAGATTAATCTTAAATAATATTTAAATAAGATGAATAATAATAATAATATTTCGAGTTTAGCTAACAATTATTTTGAATCCTTTCGTTACGGCATTCATTTAATTATTATTGACACTAATTTTGTAAGAAAAATCTGATGAAAAATTTTCTTAAATATTTGTTAACTAAACTCGCAATATTTATGTTGAAAAAATTTAATTCAAATGAATAATTGTCATGAAACAAGTACCGAGTACGCATTGATGTTCAGATATTCGCAATGTTTCAGTCCAGTTTGGAGGAAGAAGAGTAATAACGGAGTATTTGGTAGTAACGTTGAGGAAATCAGCGATTCGGATAGTCAATTTTCATTTTCCAATGAAGAATCATCGTCGATGCATGTAAGTTCATCGATTATACGGAATAAACATTCTAACTTTGAATAATAGTCATTTCGTATCGTATTTCAGGACACCATAGACGCAGAAACGGAAAATACGGACAAGGAAAACGATTTCAATTTAAAAGTGAATATTACAAATTCAAATGAAATATTTTCATATTAATTTTTAGTATTGCAATTATTTTTCTAACGACAAAAGAATATCATATATATATATATATTAATTAAAAAAAATGAACAATTTTTCTAGGTTATAGCATCTCGCGGAGATAACATAATAGCTGTTGCAAATCCTGCCTTGATGGAATGTGGTCATCCAATAAAAGAAGAGCCCGCTGATGAAAAACCTACGCTGTGATATTATTATAATAATCTTGTAATGATAATTGATCGAAACGAAATCATGTTGTTGTTGTTTCTTTCATGATTATTACTCAATATTATTTGTTCACGCGGAACATTCAAACACATCATTGTAGTTTCATTGGATATTATGATTCCTGCAATTGTTAGTGTCATTGCTATCAACATAGTTGATGATTATTAATAATAATAATGATGATGATGATAATGATGATGATGATGATGCTTGGTTACAGAAATGTATCAGGTTGAATGCAAGAAAAAAAATAATAAGATTACTTCTTCCAATTAGTCGACATCGTTATAATACGATTCGACAATGAGAGATTTTGAGACAATTGTCGCTTGTTATCTAGTTTTAGTATTAAATTCATATTAATAAATAAATAAATAAATAAATAAATAAATAAAACAAATAAATACTCGCACATCGTATTATGGCATTTTTAGGAAATTTATAGACTGTAAAACTAGCGCGTTAAGACTTGATAACAAAAAAAAAACAACACACACACAAATAAAATGCTATTCGTCGATGTACAAGATATTAAAAAAAAACAACAAAAAAGAAAGAAATGAATGAATGAAAGAATGATAATTGTAAATATATAAAAGAAACAAAAAAAAAAAAAGACATTGTCACATTTTATTGGTAAAATAAGCGTCTAACGTCATTTATCTTCTTACCTTCTTAAATTTGTTAATCATTCAACCCTTCTTTTCATTTTTTAATTTATCCAAAATGAAACATGCGTTTTATTCAAAAGAATATTAAAAAACAATATGAAACAAATTAAAAAGTAAATAAAACTCAGAAATTAATGCAATTATTAGGTCGAGTCATAGATAACTTCCGTTTTTTATGAGACAAACAATGACGTTTCTGCGACTGATAAGTGCAAGACACCTTTCATGGAGTTTTTCTTTTTTTTTGCACTCTTTGCAATTGTTCAACGTATCTATATTGGATTTTGCTCCAATATTACCTTCAAAAGGTTCATCAAAGTTAGAAATACGTCCCTGCACTCGGTTCATCTTTTAAGATCGTATCTTCAGAACGGAATTTTACAAAGCAATTTCTGACTGCCCTATCAGTTATCAGTCCTGCACTGTATACGCTGTATATTTTTTCAGTTGTCACCTTAGTGCTATTGCCTTGTTTCAATTCTTAAAGCATTACATGTCGAATATGCACTTTTTACTACTATCCATTTCAGTGGTTAAGAAAAACGGTTAAATGTAACATTGACTACATAAAGAAACATGTGTGCAGATCACACGTGTTAAAAGTGAAATCTTCAAGAAACTAAGTTTCGAGAGAATGAGACCAATACAAAATATCTGCTGTAGGATAATTGTATTCTCTTCTTATTTAGTAACGCGGCCGTTTCATTGCCTCCCACCGCTCCGTTACATAGCCGCCTACCGCTCCGTTACATAGCCGCCTACCGGTCCGTTACATTTTTTCAAATCACACTCATTCTAAAGAAGTTTTTACTTCAAAAAGTTGACAGAAGACTAACTGAATCCCTCATCTATACAGTGATATCAAAAATCCGTTTGTTTCGGTGACTTATAGTAGGTAAATACGAAAAAATAGATTCTACATAGTTGCATCGGAAGTTACTTATAACTCGACCTAATAAAAAACGATATATGTGCCCATAATTATGAAAGTGAATTATCTAAGTCAAAATTAAACAAAAAAAAGAGTTTATCAGTTATTACGCACCACATTATTATAAATTAAATAAATTCAATGTAATTTTCACAATATTGTCAAAAAAGAATCGTTAAATGATGTTTGTTATTTCAATATTACATAGAATTCATATGGTGTTCAAATAGAAATCTTGAAATATCTCGAAACAAGAGATACATGACTTAGACCACTTTCATAATTATGGGCACATATGTATCTATGTATATGTGTGTAGGTATGTATAAAACCCTTTTCGTTATCAACGATCCAAATATGGGTCGTTCAAACGAAAGATTGTAAAATTCATGAAAAATTTTGTATTAAAAAAAAAACAATTTTTTTATGTAAAACCATATATATATATATAAACTGAACGTATAAAAAATGAATGTGTCTTAACGAAAAAGGGGTTAAAAAAAAGTTAACAAAAAATTATTATAGATAAACGAAACGAAACGAAAAAAAAATAAAACCAAATCACACAGACACATTTTCTGTAGACTTAAATCTCTGATATATTATTTATTTATTTAATGGATTTTTTTATATCGCAGTATACGCTTTTTTTTTTATCAATCACATACTTCCATCTTCCATAAATTTAATCACAAGTAGTCGATATACCTAGAATCTAAAAGGGGTAGTAGTAGTAGTAGTAGTAATAGTAATAGTAATAGTAATAGTAGTAGTAGTATATAAGTAATAGGTAAGTTAGTTTTTTTTTTTCGCAGTATTGACTCTATATATATATATGTGTATATATATATAGTATATATATATATATATACTATTCCGATGACTAAAAGACTTGTTTTTTGTTTTTTTCTTTTTTTTTTGTTAATATATCTACAAATATATTATTATTATTATTATTTATTTATTTTTTTTTATTTGTTTTGTATTGTATTGTATTGTATTTATATATATGCACACACACACGCACTCGCGCTAAGCCACAAACGCACACATACGTCGTCGTCGTCGTGTAATGCGTCACGCACACACGCGTGTGAACAAGTATAATATATATATATATAGATATATAAATACATTTATGTGTATATATTATTTTTAATACACATACACATAAGTGTATACATTTATATACACGCACACACGCGTGTTATATAATACTCCTTTTATTTATTTATTTATTTAATTAATTAAGTATGGCTATTATAAACGTTTCGTTTATTTATGGGAATTTGACAAATCATTTATTTATTTCATATTGAAATATTTTAAACAATATTAATGTTATTCTTCTTGTTGTTGTTGTTGTTGTTGTTGGTTGTGACAAAAGTATTTGATCATTTTGTGACAAAAAAGTACAAAAAAAAAAAGTGACTTCTCTTACTTTTCTTACAGTTTTTTTTTTTTTCCAAGGATCAATGTGTGGTGTGTGTGTGTGTTTATGTGAGAGATAAGGGAAAAATCTAAATCGATTATATTATATTATTTTTTTTGTTGTTGTCGATCGGTTAAAAGATACATTTTTTAATTGGATTTGACACATATGATTGAGGTTTTTTTCATCGAGCAAAGTTTCATTTCGCTGCTTAGCTCGCATCTCACAGCCTAAAAGGTGATTTTCAATTGGACTGCACACACAGAGACATTTCTTTATCAACGAAAATGCAAAACAAACGTTCTATTCCTGTTTTTTTTTTTTTTTTTTTTTTTTTGCATATTACATCCTGCAATTTAACCCCCAGCTCACCCCTGTTCAACCCTCTGGTCAAATGCTAAGCCTGCAGTTTTTGTTTGTTTTTTTTTTTTATTACATTTGTTCGTAGTCGCGTATGTGTATATATATATATATATATTTATTTTAATGTGGTGTTACGTGTGTTTGAAACATATGTGTGTAGTAGTAGTAGTAGTAGTAGTGTGCGCGAGCGTGTTAACACGTTGATTGCCACGTCAGTCATTAATGACTGACAATGAACTTTCAGTTCAGGCCATGTCAGTCATCAATGACTGACATTCAACGTTGTTTCGTCACACGTGGCCTGGACGAAGATTATCAATAAAAATTTGCGTGACACTCAACAATGTGTTAATAATAATGGGGATGTAAATGTGTGTGTATATGTGTCCTGTGTAAATGTATTTCAATACGTAATTTGATAATTGTGCATTTGATAAAGTAATAATTACGACATAATAAAATATTAAAAATGGCAGCACCGTAAATTGCCACTAATTATTTATGGGTTGTTTTGTTTTTTTTTTATCATTCTTCTCATTTGGATGAAACAAGATTTTTTTTTCTTTTACTTGACTTTTACTTTTATTTATTTATTTATTTTTGCTTTGTTTATCTCAAAGACATAATGCCTCTCTCTCTCTCTCTCTCTCTCTCTCTCTCTAACTCTTTCTCATGTGTTTTCGTTCTTAATGGTTTTTTTTTTTAATTATTTATCTATTTATTTATATGTACAACGTGTGTGTTTTAAACGGGGGCAACTTATCATACGAGAAGAGAAACAGTTTTTTTCTTATCTTCTTCCTTTATCTTATCTTATCTTTTCTTATCTTTTCATATCATTTCATATCATTTCATTTCACACAATAAACTTTGTTTTACATTCAACATGTTTTGTATAAACTATGCAATGCACCAATGCCTATCAAATAGATAAGTACACATAAAATATATATATGCAACGTTTTTAAGTATATATATATATATATATATGTATATAAATAACGTTGTAATCAAATTAAAAATTATATAATATTGCGATATATCGTAAAGATACATGTTCGATGATAATAATAACAATAATAATAATAATAATAATAATAATAATAAAAATAATTACAATGATAATTTTCCAGTAATGTATATATATATATATACGCAATGTGTGTATGTGTGTGTGTATGTGTTTAATTATTATTATTTATTTATTTTTTTTTTGTTATTTCATCTAACATACCAGCTCTTATATTTTAAATGCGACATTTAACTTTTTTACTGCAACGCACTTTGAAAATTGTTCCATTCGTATATTGCTTTTTGTATTGGCTTATTTTTTTATTTTTTTATTTTAAAAGATTTTTTTTTTTTTTTTAACTATATACTTCACGACACGAATAATTTGTCAATCGAGCTGGCATTTGTGTTTGTGTGTGTGTGTGTTTTTTTTTAATTAATCGAATATACTTTCCACGTTTTAGTTTAGTTTCTCAAGAATGTTAATATTAGTTGATTGTGTGTATGTGTGCGTGAGTACATAATTAAGTGTGTGTTTGTGTAATAAAATGTAAAAATGAAAAGACAAAAACAAAATGATAAAGTTAAAATGGTTGTCGTCGTGGTGTATATATATATATATATGTATATGTATATGTTAGCTAAAAGTTTTCACACATTTTTCATTTTTCATGTTCATTTTTTGAAGAGTAATTTACGCTTAGCGATACTCCATCTTTTCCCCCCCCCCACTCTCTTCTTTTTATTTTATTTTATTTTTATTTTTATTTTATTTTTCTAGTCTCGAGAGTTTTTTTTTTTTCGTTATCATTATTACAGTATTTTTTTTCTATTTTTTTTTTCTTTTTCTCATTTTTCCATTTATTTTCTTTCCCCTCTTTTCTTCCCTTTGGAAATAATTTATTACGTTTTTTTTTTCTTTTTTTTTTTCTTTTTTTTTTAAATACGATTTTTTCAAAACACGTTTATTAAGAGGTAGATGAGAACGATAAGAAGATAATGTCAGCTTAGAAATATACGGACACAATATTATTATTATTATTATTATTATTATTTATTTAATTAATTTAATTTAATTTAATTTAATTTAATTTAATTTAATTTAATTTAATTTAATTTATTAATGTATGT